TCCCGTCCCGCTAGCCAGCCCTTCCCCGCTCCGTGAACACCCCCGGGGCCGCCCTTGGGCAGCCTGCGGGAGGTTTTCCCTCAGCACCCGCCTTGCAAGGGCCGCCCGGGGTCCTGGTTCTCCGCCGGCCGGAGGGCTGAGGGGAAAGCAGTGGGAGAGCCCGGTTGCCGGTGAGGGGTCCGCCCCCCTCTACAAGGGCGTGCTGTTAAGCTGTGAAACGCCACAGTATAGGATGTTGTGGGTACTGAACGCTTGCCAGCGATCGGGGGAACAGGGACCGTTTAGTATAGATGCTTTAGTGTAGAGAAACAGCATCTGACTGGGGAAGTGTGAACCCGAGGGAATGTTTAGACGTGGTGAACATCATATATGCTTCTCTTCTTGTCTGTGCTTTCACAGGCATCTGCCTTTGGCAACAGAGGACGAAACAGGCTCTTGGCCCAGGTGGGATTTGGGCTGACCCTGTGTAGGCGGTAGGATGTGGTTAGATATGCCTGGTGTTTGCTGGCTGGCTGGTGCAGGTATTGTAATTGAAATGCAGAGTAATTGCTACCAGAGAAAACTTTATTTCTGTCATAGATACAAGCTATTTGCTAATAAATACTTAGTTTATGTGAGAAGCTAAATACTTTAGCTTCTTCTGGTGAACTCCGATGGATGTGTTCTTTTCTGAGTACATCTGTCAAGTTGCAGAAACAGCAAATGTTAACTGTAATGGTCAACATTCAAATTTGGCTATTACTCACAGACTCATATGTACTTTTTTGGTATAACTAAGTTTATTCACAGTTAGAAAGAGTCTTGTGGAAGTTCAAATGTGAACTTCAGAGATTGGGATATTTTATAGTGTTCCTGAAGAAAAGACACAGCAGAAAGCTGTGTTACCAGCATCGTTGTTTTTTTTTTTAAAGTCTAGGCTAAGGGTTTTGATGTACCAACTAATGTACCCACATTATTATAGTATGGATTAGCGTAGTAGATTATTAATAAAGCTATTGGTGTGTCTAAAAATGGAAATCAATGGAAAAAGAAATGTAGGTGGTTCTAAGCTATAAGTGAAAGTGAGGGAGCTTGCTAATAAATAAATCTGTAGTTAGGAAATTGGTTGTTTTGGCTCACTTGCGTACATGAGAAAGGGCTCTAACAACTGCAACTGCAACTGGCTTGTGAATTCACCACTGTAAAACATGAGGAAAATTTGGAGGGGGTGAAATTTGGGGGGCAGAGGGGGGGAAGGCTGTATGCTACTTAAGTTTGACATGATTAAGCATTGGGGAAAGAATACTTGAGCAGATGCATCTCAAGGAAAACATTCCGCATGAAATCAGTAATTTCTTCTGTTAATTCAGTTGCTGTAAGCCACGAGTCAATAAAACCATGGTGATAACTCCTTACTGCTCTGCCCAGAACCCATTTTCCTCTCCCTCTTTGACTCAGCCGGATGATCCTGTCTTCCCTCCAAACCTCAGGCTATCAGATCTCTGTGTTACTTGGATTTTGTTGCACAGTAACAACTCCTGTTGCCCTCTCTGCTCTGTAGGACTGACTGATTTCTTGCCTAACCTTTCCTTTCTTTTCTGACTCTTTTCAGTCCTTTTTACCTGGAGAAATCTCTTGACTTTCCACTGTACTGCACGAGAGAATGCAAAGGTGCAGCACCTAGCCCAACAGAGTGATCTGCTCAAACTCTTGATCTTATCCCAGGCTCCTGGCCCTGCACTTAGACACTCAGCATTTCTCCTCGTCTGTGATCCAGATGTCTGATTTCCCACTTCAAAACAAAACCACTTCTAACAGTTTAGTTCTGAGGCTCTTCATTACTTCTGCAGGAAAAAAAAGACCAACACAATCCTGCTGTCCTGTGCAGCTTCCTTCTTTCCCAGCAGAACGTTCCTCTCCTGTCCTTTTCCCAGCTCATCTCAGAGCCTCAGCTGCCTTTCCTTTGCGGTGTGGAGATCAAAGAGGGTGGCTGTTGAATAACAGTTACTGCTGGTTCTCCTGGGCTTCTTTTGAACCAGCACCACTCTAGCGTTGTCGATCGGCAGGACTTTCTGCGCTTGTATCTATCGTAGCGCAGATCTTCCTGTGATAGGGGCCCCCGTAAGTTGCAAACAAGAACTAGCCCAGTGCTCTGAGTGAGTTCCATCAAGCACAGAAGGTTCTGCCTCAGGGTAGATGCTATGTTATAGTGATTTAAATTTAGCTTTCTTGTTACGCAGTAATATATTTTTTCCCCCCCTTACAGGTATCCGCTGACAAATTACACATTTGGTACAAAGGAGCCCCTGTATGAGAAGGACAGTTCCGTGGCAGCTCGGTTTCAGCGCATGAGGGAAGAGTTTGACAAGATCGGCATGAGGCGGACAGTGGAAGGGGTTCTGATTGTACATGAGCACAGGCTGCCCCACGTGCTGCTGCTGCAGCTGGGTACAACTTTTTTCAAGCTGTAAGTGTCTGTTTCTTCAATGTAACTTTTAGTTTATTGTCACAGACCACTAAATGTGTGGGCTAGAGGTCAAAGCATGGCTCACTGATAGGTGTTTTGAATGAGATTTATTTCTTGCAAAGGCTTAGTCTGGGAAAACTTTTTTTTGAATGGTGGGATTTTCATTTAAAGTGTATTTGTCTGACTCTGCCTGTGAATGGGGTGACTTAGTTTGGAACCGACTGGGAATCTTAGTTACAGTGCATCACTGTGGTAAAATCCTGTTTAAAACTCGTTACCAGTAGTCATTGTGTTGTACTTATATTGTGAAAGCTGTTACGCTTAAATATGCTTCTGTCATGGCTGCAAAAATGGTAAAGTGGAGATCAAGGAATAAACCCCAGTAAATGCAGAACATGTTTACAAACTACTGGGTGAGCTGGGGACAGGAAGAAAGGTAGGCATCTAAATTTGAGAAAATTGCTTCAGTTCATCTTGTAGTTATTGCTGCTGGAGTGAAATGTTAGTGTTTGGATCATATGGTCGTAGTGATGGTGGTGGTGCTTGTTCTCTTTTTTCAAACTGGATGGGCTTGACTTGTCTCAAGTTATCCTGCTTGTGTTCTTGCTCTTGTGTTTTTAACATTTATATTGTTTGTTCTCAATTTTGCGTGTGTGTGAAGTCTGATTTTATATCCAGGTTCTTTTCTGACATCTTCATTTGGGAGATGTTTGTGGACAAAATGGGCTAGACTCTAAGAGTTCTGCAAAACTCCGTAATGATGAAAAAGTGGGTTTAGTTTTTTTCATTAACCTTGCATCAAATGCAGGATGGTTCCCCATATGAGTTTTATTTTCTGTTTCCTGTGTGCTTCAGTGAGTGCTCTTTTTGAGATAAGCACAAACATCATCGGTATTTACAGCTCTTTCTTCAACTTCTGGTGCTTTTATATTATCGTTAATACCTTTTAAGTGTCCCAGTTATTATCATGTATATTGTTATACCTTGTCCTGCTGAAGTTAAAGTACTACTTAAAGGGACGTACGGTAGCCATTTTAGTCATGATTTTGGTGAAAGCTATCAGCAAAGTTAGATTTGGAACTTCTGACTTAAGCGCCTTGAGTGAATTTGTAACTCCCTGCCCGGAAGCACATCCAAACTTACCTGTGAAAGTCGGTAAATGCAATAAAACATAACTTTAGCTTTCATCATTGATTATTTTAACAGACCTGGTGGTGAACTCAATCCAGGAGAAGACGAGGTAGAAGGGCTCAAACGCTTAATGACAGAGGTCTGTTTTCTTTGATTTTGTTGCTACACCGGAATGTTAGATTATTTTAGAGTTAACAGAATAAGCCAAAACATTGGTCTCCTTCCTGCTTCTGTTACTTTTGATGCTTTTGTGATGTTCCCAGGTACTTAACTGAAAACTTACTGCTTTATTTGTTATCTGCATCGTGACTGTGACGGAGCAGTCTAGTGGCTGACCTCCTGCCCTGCTTCTCAAGTCCTGTGTTCATTTGCAGCTCTGCTTTTTGGCTGGCTTCAGGCAAATGAGTGTGCAGATGGGCAATAAAATATATTGTGGAGCACAACTGGTGAGGACTTGCCTTTGAGATAGTCTTCCCGGTGCACCACTTAACCTTCCATGCTCTCCAAGTAACCTGAATTAATTCTGTCGGGTAGCGTAACGATGCGTTTCATTCTTCCCATTGGTCTGATAGGACTCAGTTCAACTTAATACAGCATGGAATTTGAAATGCTCTGTAAAATGTCCTTGTCCTGTCAGGTGAGGCTTTTAGTAAAAAATGTCACTTTATATAAAAAATACTCTAAAATTCTATTAAAAGCTGTTCCAGAGCAGTTCTGAACTACGTCAGACCCTTATTACAGCAAGTCTTTGGGCTTCCAGTATGCGTTTGCTAAAAAAAAATTGACTTGGGGCAGTTAGAGTTTTGACTGTAACTGGGTTTTTGGTAGATACTGGGTCGTCAGGATGGTGTTCAGCAAGACTGGGTGATTGATGACTGCATTGGTAACTGGTGGAGACCGAACTTTGAACCTCCACAGGTGAGTACTCCTGTTGACTTTCATTTTCAGTCAAGTATTGATTGTACTTCCAAAAGCCTTCAACTTACCAGTTGGGCTTTTTGAGTACCTGCTGCATGAGCAATTAGCTTTTCTGGTTTTTACCTATTTCATCTCCTTTCTGTGGCTGAGGAGAAACTACAAACTTTTTTTTTTTCTGGAAACTCCCATCTCCCTCCTCATGCCCGTCCTGATGGATGAGAAACCACTGGACATAATAGCTTCCAGTCCTGTGCCGAGCCAGACACACCATTTAAATTCCTGTTGGAGCCACAATGGAAACTCTTGTGCTGCTGCATGTGGAACAGATGCCCTGTGAATAAATTAGTCTCACTACCCTATTTCTAAATGCTTTAATACTGAAAATACTTGCTGAGTTTGCTGTTAATGAATTTTTGTCTTACTGAGTTGTTTTAACTGCTTGTGAGTATTGGTGCCTCTTTAGGTCCTGTCAATCATTGTGACAGCAACAGCTTTCCTTTCTGAGTACTTTCTTATAAAAGTGGTTTTCATTATTTGATGACATGAAATACATGATACATTGAAAGCTTGCGCAGTGCTTGATCATTTATAAAGTAGCACTTAAGATTGCACAATATTTTCAAAGTTCTGTACAGCCAATTCTTTCTGTTTTTCTTCCAGTATCCCTATATCCCAGCTCATATTACAAAACCAAAAGAGCACAAAAAGCTTTTCTTGGTCCAGCTTCAAGAAAAGGGTAAGTGTTTGTTTGCAACAAAGGATTGTATTTATAACAATGGCTAATAGCTTGCATTTTACACAAGGAAATGTAGTAGCAAGTTTGTGTTCATATGCTTGCAGTTGCTTATAGCTCATTGCTAAAAGAGTTAAATGCCAATTATCAGTTTTGAAGGTAGGTGATCCTTTGAACACGAGTTCCTAGTATTCCTGCTCCTGCATCAGTGTATGTACAGCACGTGAACCCCATATTTAGAAAAGGAATAAACCCGCTCTGGTGCTGTAGTGCTATATGTAGTGATCTTGGTCTGAGAGGTGTGGGGGGCCGTGGTACCTTGGCTGAACATCTGGTGGTTTTTTCTTACTAATCACCTTGTATTTGTTTTTAGCTTTGTTTGCAGTCCCCAAAAATTACAAGCTGGTCGCTGCACCATTGTTTGAGCTCTATGACAACGCACCAGGATATGGACCCATTATTTCCAGCCTTCCTCAACTTTTGAGCAGGTATATTATGGTCTATTTGTATTGTAGTCCTTGTCCCCATTTGCTGTGGGACACCAGAGTGAGGCTAGGCGCTACAGAAACCAACTTGAAAAGGTTGCAGCTGTCCCAAAGAGCTTAGAATCTACCTTGGACAAGATGTGTTGGACAACTTAGAGGCACTGATCGCAACTTGCTAGCACCAAAGTCCTATTAGCAGTTGTAGAAAAGGAAAATGTGAAAGAGAGTGAGGAGGAAGCTGTGCACAGGCTAAGGAACAACTTCTCGTAAGCATTAGGGACAGCGTGGGAGTGAAAGCAAAGATGAAGCTGTGTTTGAAGCACTGAGTTAGGTGTGTATGTTATCACAGCTTTGTGCTGATTAAATGTGGGTTTTTTTAGACTCTGTGGTAGAGTTTATAACATGTAGCATCTTTATAACACAAGTATGTGTAGGGACAGCTGTATTTTTTTTTTTTCCTTCCTTTTCCCAACGTACACGCTCTTTGGCTTTCTTACCTGAAAATGGCTCGTACCTCGGGTCTCCAGAGCTCGCTAATCTCACTGGTTTCTGTTAGTTCAGCAAATGTTCAGGCATGCCAGGCATCCCACAGCCTGTCAGCTGTTACTCGGGGAGGTAGTTCTGTCATCCACCTACT